ATGCCTCATCTATTTGCTGGTATTCTGCTATCCCAGCTATGACCTCATCTTCTAGCAGGTGTATTGCTACCCAAGGTATGCCTCATATTCTTGCTGGTATTCTGCTATCCCAGCTGTGACCTCATCTTCTAGCAGGTGTGTTGCTACCCAAGGTATGCCTCATATTCTTGCTGGTATTCTGCTATCCCAGATATGACCTCATCTTCTAGCAGGTGTGTTGCTACCCAAGGTATGCCTCATATTCTTGCTGGTATTCTGCTATCCCAGCTATGACCTCATCTTCTAGCAGGTGTGTTGCTACCCAAGGTATGCCTCATATTCTTGCTGGTATTCTGCTATCCCAGCTATGACCTCATCTTCTAGCAGGTGTGTTGCTACCCAAGGTATGCCTCATATTCTTGCTGGTATTCTGCTATCCCAGCTATGACCTCATCTTCTAGCAGGTGTGTTGCTACCCAAGGTATGCCTCATATTCTTGCTGGTATTCTGCTATCCCAGCTATGACCTCATCTTCTAGCAGGTGTGTTGCTACCCAAGGTATGCCTCATATTCTTGCTGGTATTCTGCTATCCCAGCTATGACCTCATCTTCTAGCAGGTGTGTTGCTACCCAAGGTATGCCTCATATATTTGCTGGTATTCTGCTATCCCAGTTATGACCTCATCTTCTAGCAGGTGTGTTGCTACCCAAGGTATGCCTCATATTCTTGCTGGTATTCTGCTATCCCAGCTATGACCTCATCTTCTAGCAGGTGTGTTGCTACCCAAGGTATGCCTCCATATTCTTGCTGGTATTCTGCTATCCCAGTTATGACCTCATCTTCTAGCAGGTGTGTTGCTACCCAAGGTATGTCTCCATATTCTTGCTGGTATTCTGCTATCCCAGCTATGACCTCATCTTCTAGCAGGTGTGTTGCTACCCAAGGTATACCTCCATATTCTTGCTGGTATTCTGCTATCCCAGTTATGACCTCATCTTCTAGCAGGTGTGTTGCTACACAAGGTATGCCTCCATATTCTTGCTGGTATTCTGCTATCCCAGCTGTGACCTCATCTTCTAGCAGGTGTGTTGCTACCCAAGGTATGCCTCATATTCTTGCTGGTATTCTGCTATCCCAGATATGACCTCATCTTCTAGCAGGTGTGTTGCTACCCAAGGTATGCCTCATATTCTTGCTGGTATTCTGCTATCCCAGCTATGACCTCATCTTCTAGAATGTGTTGCTACCCAAGGTATGCCTCATATTCTTGCTGGTATTCTGCTATCCCAGCTATGACCTCATCTTCTAGCAGGTGTGTTGCTACCCAAGGTATGCCTCATATTCTTGCTGGTATTCTGCTATCCCAGCTGTGACCTCATCTTCTAGCAGGTGTGTTGCTACCCAAGGTATGCCTCATATTCTTGCTGGTATTCTGCTATCCCAGCTATGACCTCATCTTCTAGCAGGTGTGTTGCTACCCAAGGTATGCCTCATATATTTGCTGGTATTCTGCTATCCCAGTTATGACCTCATCTTCTAGCAGGTGTGTTGCTACCCAAGGTATGCCTCATATTCTTGCTGGTATTCTGCTATCCCAGCTATGACCTCATCTTCTAGCAGGTGTGTTGCTACCCAAGGTATGCCTCCATATTCTTGCTGGTATTCTGCTATCCCAGTTATGACCTCATCTTCTAGCAGGTGTGTTGCTACCCAAGGTATGTCTCCATATTCTTGCTGGTATTCTGCTATCCCAGCTATGACCTCATCTTCTAGCAGGTGTGTTGCTACCCAAGGTATACCTCCATATTCTTGCTGGTATTCTGCTATCCCAGTTATGACCTCATCTTCTAGCAGGTGTGTTGCTACACAAGGTATGCCTCCATATTCTTGCTGGTATTCTGCTATCCCAGCTATGACCTCATCTTCTAGCAGGTGTGTTGCTACCCAAGGTATGTCTCCATATTCTTGCTGGTATTCTGCTATCCCAGCTATGACCTCATCTTCTAGCAGGTGTGTTGCTACCCAAGGTATGCCTCCATATTCTTGCTGGTATTCTTCTATCCCAGTTATGACCTCATCTTCTAGCAGGTGTGTTGCTACCCAAGGTATGCCTCCACATTCTTGCTGGTATTCTGCTATCTCAGCTATGACCTCATCTTCTAGCAGGTGTGTTGCTACCCAAGGTATGCCTCATATTCTTGCTGGTATTCTGCTATCCCAGCTATGACCTCATCTTCTAGCAGGTGTGTTGCTACCCAAGGTATGCCTCATATTCTTGCTGGTATTCTGCTATCCCAGCTATGACCTCATCTTCTAGCAGGTGTGTTGCTACCCAAGGTATGCCTCATATATTTGCTGGTATTCTGCTATCCCAGTTATGACCTCATCTTCTAGCAGGTGTGTTGCTACCCAAGGTATGCCTCATATTCTTGCTGGTATTCTGCTATCCCAGCTATGACCTCATCTTCTAGCAGGTGTGTTGCTACCCAAGGTATGCCTCCATATTCTTGCTGGTATTCTGCTATCCCAGTTATGACCTCATCTTCTAGCAGGTGTGTTGCTACCCAAGGTATGTCTCCATATTCTTGCTGGTATTCTGCTATCCCAGCTATGACCTCATCTTCTAGCAGGTGTGTTGCTACCCAAGGTATGCCTCCATATTCTTGCTGGTATTCTGCTATCCCAGTTATGACCTCATCTTCTAGCAGGTGTGTTGCTACCCAAGGTATGTCTCCATATTCTTGCTGGTATTCTGCTATCCCAGCTATGACCTCATCTTCTAGCAGGTGTGTTGCTACCCAAGGTATGCCTCCATATTCTTGCTGGTATTCTTCTATCCCAGTTATGACCTCATCTTCTAGCAGGTGTGTTGCTACCCAAGGTATGCCTCCACATTCTTGCTGGTATTCTGCTATCTCAGCTATGACCTCATCTTCTAGCAGGTGTGTTGCTACCCAAGGTATGCCTCATATTCTTGCTGGTATTCTGCTATCTCAGCTATGACCTCATCTTCTAGCAGGTGTGTTGCTACCCAAGGTATGCCTCATATTCTTGCTGGTATTCTGCTATCCCAGCTGTGACCTCATCTTCTAGCAGGTGTGTTGCTACCCAAGGTATGCCTCATATTCTTGCTGGTATTCTGCTATCCCAGTTATGACCTCATCTTCTAGCAGGTGTGTTGCTACCCAAGGTATGCCTCATATTATTGCTGGTATTCTGCTATCCCAGCTATGACCTCATCTTCTAGCAGGTGTGTTGCTACCCAAGGTATGCCTCATATTCTTGCTGGTATTCTGCTATCCCAGCTATGACCTCATCTTCTAGCAGGTGTGTTGCTACCCAAGGTATGCCTCATATTCTTGCTGGTATTCTGCTATCCCAGCTATGACCTCATCTTCTAGCAGGTGTGTTGCTACCCAAGGTATGCCTCATATTCTTTCTGGTATTCTGCTATCCCAGCTATGACCTCATCTTCTAGCAGGTGTGTTGCTACCCAAGGTATGCCTCAATATTCTTTCTGGTATTCTGCTATCCCAGCTATGACCTCATCTTCTAGCAGGTGTGTTGCTACCCAAGGTATGCCTCAATATTCTTGCTGGTATTCTGCTATCCCAGCTATGACCTCATCTTCTAGCAGGTGTGTTGCTACCCAAGGTATGCCTCATATTCTTGCTGGTATTCTGCTATCCCAGCTATGACCTCATCTTCTAGCAGGTGTGTTGCTACCCAAGGTATGCCTCATATTCTTGCTGGTATTCTGCTATCCCAGCTATGACCTCATCTTCTAGCAGGTGTGTTGCTACCCAAGGTATGCCTCATATTCTTGCTGGTATTCTGCTATCCCAGCTATGACCTCATCTTCTTGCAGGTGTGTTGCTACCCAAGGTATGCCTCATATTATTGCTGGTATTCTGCTATCCCAGCTATGACCTCATCTTCTAGCAGGTGTGTTGCTACCCAAGGTATGCCTCATATTCTTGCTGGTATTCTGCTATCCCAGCTATGACCTCATCTTCTAGCAGGTGTGTTGCTACCCAAGGTATGCCTCATATTCTTGCTGGTATTCTGCTATCCCAGCTATGACCTCATCTTCTAGCAGGTGTGTTGCTACCCAAGGTATGCCTCATATTCTTTCTGGTATTCTGCTATCCCAGCTATGACCTCATCTTCTAGCAGGTGTGTTGCTACCCAAGGTATGTCTCCATATTCTTTCTGGTATTCTGCTATCCCAGCTATGACCTCATCTTCTAGCAGGTGTGTTGCTACCGAAGGTATGCCTCAATATTCTTGCTGGTATTCTGCTATCCCAGCTATGACCTCATCTTCTAGCAGGTGTGTTGCTACCCAAGGTATGCCTCATATTCTTTCTGGTATTCTGCTATCCCAGCTATGACCTCATCTTCTAGCAGGTGTGTTGCTACCCAAGGTATGCCTCATATTCTTGCTGGTATTCTGCTATCCCAGCTATGACCTCATCTTCTAGCAGGTGTGTTGCTACCCAAGGTATGCCTCATATTCTTGCTGGTTTGCTATCCCAGCTATGACCTCATCTTCTTGCAGGTGTGTTGCTACCCAAGGTATGCCTCATATTCTTGCTGGTATTCTGCTATCCCAGCTATTACCTCATCTTCTAGCAGGTGTGTTGCTACCCAAGGTATGCCTCATATTCTTGCTGGTATTCTGCTATCCCAGCTATGACCTCATCTTCTAGCAGGTGTGTTGCTACCCAAGGTATGCCTCCATATTCTTGCTGGTATTCTGCTATCTCTAGTGTTCCTTCATCTTCTAGCAGGTGTGTTGCTACCCAAGGTATGCCTCCATATTCTTGCTGGTATTCTGCTATCTCTAGTGTTCCTTCATCTTCTAGCAGGTGTGTTGCTACCCAAGGTATGCCTCCACATTCTTGCTGGTATTCTGCTATCTCTAGTGTTCCTTCATCTTCTAGCAGGTGTGTTGCCATTCCCGGTGTGCCTTCAGTTCCAGCTGCCTTCCCATGTCAACAGGTATGTTGCTGTTTCAGGTATACGATGGCTCAAGCACCCTGCTGAGTTTGCTGGACGGTAGTCGGGGCATGTATGTTATTGAACCGGCCACCCATTACACAGTTCACTTTCAATCTGATGACCTCCTCAATTACAGGGGATTCAATGCAACATGGACAAGTAAGTATTGCAAGTATACAAAGAGTCTATTTTAATTATAGTACTCCCTTGTTACGAATCCACCTAAATCTGTGTAGTAATCCTAACACACACTGTATTGGTTAAGACGACACAACCTTATGTCGTGAATGCTCAAAGATATTGGTGACCGCCTCCGTGGTCTAGTGGTAGAGCGTCCGCCCGGAGAGCGGAAAGTCCGGGGTTCGATCCCCAGTCGCGTCATATCAAAAGACGTTAAAAGATGGTACTTGTTGTTACCCTGTCTGGCGCTCGGCATTAAGGGGCTAAAACAAGGACTGGTCGGCTCGGAGTCAGTATACTGTGTCTGAGTGGGGTATTCATGTTAAACTGCGGCATGGTATCTCAGTGGGCTAGCACTATAAATCGGCATCAGTCCGGACTAGTCAAGCAGCCACACATACACGTACATGCACGTCGCTATATAAGTGCAATAATCTTGGACGCGACGTTAAACCCCCATTTCACCTCACCTCAAAGATATTGGAGGGCACGGGTCTAAGAAGCCGCGATTAGCTGTGCAGAGTTGCGTCCCTTGGGCACACCAGAAACCTATGATTGTGGGGTCGAACCCCAGTTCGCCCCGATTATGTTTCAAGGTTTGTCAGCACCATACCCGTGCTCATTGGTTTCAGCGAAGTGGTAAACGTCTGAGACCTGCATCATGATCACTTCGGGCTTTCCTCCAACATTAGGCTGACACGCCGTGATATAACCGGAATACTGTTAAAAGCGGCGTTAAACCCAACTCACTCACGCACTGAACGATATTGAAAATGTTCTTTACGCTTTTCTTTTACAGTCTCCGCCACCGCACTAGCTTCTGACGTACCCGCTCTCGTGCACGGGCGCTGTAGCTACCAGGAAGACGTTGTGCGCCAGTCTTCATCCGGGTTCTCTCTGAGTTACCTTGAACTGCTCAGCACAGTCACGATCTTCGACTGTTTGTTTGTTTGTAGGGAAGACAGCTTATGCACAGCCTTTCATTACTTGAACCAAGGGTGTACCTTGTATTTCAATTTTGTCTGCAATGATACCCTCCCAGCTTTGCTGTATGTGGGAATGTGACGTGATGCATCATTGTGGAGACGTTAAAATAAAGCGACAAAACCCTTTCCATACCCAATAGAAATATCTGCATGAAGCAGAATCGATTGTACGATTCCGACTATGTCATTAGAATGTGTTAAAAACTTTATGAATCACTATCAAATAGTAATAATACCAGGTGTTCGCGAAAAGGTAAGCGTATCCTGCCTCACCGGAAGGCACTTGTCACAAACACATGCAAAGGCAAGTCAATTGTTCATCTGAACCAGCACGGGAACATATGGTACAAGAAAAAATAGGAATTGCTGCGGACATCCTTTTTGTCTCTGATGCGTCAAATTTGGAAATGTTCTCCTCATGTCTACATTGAAACAAATTTTGAATGAGAAATGAATATTTCGTTTTATTGGATTTTCTGTGGGAAATTGGAATTCAACATTCTCTGATTCATGTTAAATATTACGAAGAATATACTAGTTATTATTTTGTTAAAAGAATAAGAGGAACTGACCCTTATCGTGTACATCTGGTATATTTGATGACAGTGATGAGTAGGGTATTGTTTCTAAACGATAAGGGGCGGTCGGGTAGCCTAGTGGTTTAAGCGTTCGCTCGTCACGCCGAAGACCCGGGTTCGATTCCCGACATGGGTACAATGGGTGAAGCCAATTTCTGGTGTCCCCCGCCGTGATATTGCTGGAATATTGCTAAAAGCGGCGTAAAATCATACTCACTCACTCACTCACTCTAAACGATAAGAAAATCATGTCTTAATATCACTAAATTGCTGGTAGAGTTTCGAAGGTTAACGCGCCGCAATTTGTTATGCAAATTGTTGGTGGCGGGTGCTACCCGTATCGATTCATATCATTTTCACCACTGTTTTGCCTTTTACGTCCAGTGGAATTTGTTACGGCAGATAATTGTGACCGATTATTCTCTGGCGTTGGCGTTTTATATTTAAAAGAATCAACCGCGTGTTGAATCGAGAGTGTTAATGTCCTGGAGCTCACCTGGTTTAGGAACCATTGGATAATTTGCTGTCAGCATTGATATTAAAATATCTCCCGCAGAAACAAGGAACTAAATCCAAACAGGGCCTCTTGATTTTCAGCAACGAATGTCATGTAAAGGAGTTAATCATTGTTGTTCAACATAACATCGTTTCCTTTAAAATCCCGATTATTTCCATATTACGTACAAGTTCCAGAACGTTTCTCTCGGGTGTGTCTTTTGAAAGGTTTCAGAAATTAGAAAAGTGCAAACTTGGATTAAGTGCAAAATGGAAGCAGTCCGAATTATTCGCTTCTAATCGTGGTATGTCAATATTTAAATCTATTTTAATCTGGACACTGAAAACACACTACTAGTACCCATATATGCATCAACATTGTGCATTTGTTTGTGAAGCTCATAGTTTAACTCGTGCTTCTTTTAAGGTTCAAATACTACAAAATCTGAGGATCAATATCAATAGAAACGCGAGTAAGCATCTGTCAAAAATACAAACATCACTTTAATAAATAACGATGAACCTGACCTTTGATAGTCATGCTACCGTCTTTTCATATGGTTGGACTTTGTTAGATACCCGCACAAATTACGTTCCACGCCTTTATAGGTATCATGCTTGCCTAAGAAACTGACACTGATATAATATATATTTTGGTGTCCGGGATCTTTGGCTGATGATAGACAAAGTATTTCAGCATCCCCATCCGTGAGAAATTCTACAATACGTTTGGTGTCAAACATTCATACATTTCGAAAAAGTGTATACGTGCTGTGGTATCTTTTATCTCGTTCGCTTGACCTTGACCTTGACCTATGTGACGTTACGCTACGTAATATCCTTCCTTGGCCAATGTGACGTTACACTATCCTTAAGAGTAACTTTATAAATTTACAAAAGTAGGGCTCCACAGGGTTGCGTAATCTCTCCCTTGCTTTTCATCCTGTCCACAAACGATTGTGTTAGCCCTTTTTCGGATTGCCTGAATGTCAGTGTCCTGATGACACGACATTGGTTGGCCTCATTTGAGACAATGAACAGCACCACAGGAAGGTGTTCAGGTTATTTGCAAAGTGCGATGACATTGACATGAAGCTTGTGTTAAAAGTGAAATACCAAGGAATAGATTCAGACTTAAAACCTGCCACCTTCAAATCACGAGCCTGTGGAAGTTGTCACGGAATACAAGATATCTGGGTACATATACACATAATAACTTAAACTGGAATATAAACACTGATGCTGTTTTAAAGATATCTCCACAGAAATTGCATGTTTGGTGTAAATTAAAATCTTTTAATGTCAACAAGAGTGTATTGTTTCTTTTTTATCTTTGTTTTGTTGAAAGAGTTTGAATGTTTTCCGTTCAGGCCTGGTACGGAGTTTTTCTGTTTTAGTAGATAAGATAGCTGGTGTCCCATTTGACATCTTGTTTAAACTAATGTCCCAAAGAAACAACACCAACTATTTTGAAACTATAATTGTTATAAGTGATGTATCTGATATGAAAACATACTTAGACATATCCTACGTACCAAGCTAAACGTAATCGGGTAAAATTTGACAATTCGGGTGATAAACGTACACTTTTAAAAGCGATGTCAGGTGCCGTAGCACAAAATGCGCGTGCATGTCTACTGTAAAAAACTGCTGACCCGACACGTTAGGAACATAACACCAAAACGCACACCAACGAAATGACACGTTTAACTGCGATAGAGAGGGAGAGAGCCGTTGGAATGGCCCAACAGGGAGCGACGCACACCGTCATTGCCAGAACGTTTGGATGCGCCCGTATAACCGTTACCAGATTGATGCAACAGTTACGTCAGACAGGCCGGCGGGGGGCGGATGGGGTTGGGGACATGTACCCCATTGAACATTTATGGTTACACCTCGACCGTCACATCAGAGGTCGCCCAGTAGCTCCGGTCAACCGCCAGCAATTGGATCAATGCCCATTTGCAGAATGGCAACGCATTTCCTCAACGTCACCCGACGTTTGACGTCATCGGCCCGTCGACGTTTTCTGGCATGCATCATTCCTCCAGGTGGACATAACAGGATATTAACGTGACATTAGGAAGGATATTCTGACATTTTACACACTTGCCGCGTCCTGTGTTATGACTGTGACTTTCTTTGTTGACCCCACGCGTCTTTATGCGCGTGTCAGTCTGGAGGTTAAAGTGTGATTGAAATGAATGTTTGTACACTTTATGTTAAAAGATTGATCTAATAAAATATACCAATATGTATTTTCTATACGTTTTTCATTTTCTTCCATAACCTTTCAAACACTTGGTATCGTTTCTTTTTGACACTAATTTATTTTTTATGAAAAGCGTGTTTTGTAATTATCACTGTAGCTGATCATTTTTTAAACAAAGAGGATTCTTGTCTACCTTCTGCCTGTATAGCCACATTTAAAAAAACCCAGAGCTCTAAGGGATGTAATCCAATCAAGTATACGTCTCTTAAATGGTTTCTACGTTCTGTACTGTTTTAGTATGATCTTTAATGTTCATGTTATTATATACACAATCTGTTAGCACTTCCATATGTACAAATCATTTCCTTGTGGTAATAAAGTATTGTCACTGTCATTATTATGATACAAAATTTTGTTTATGTTTTTGAGAAAAAGTAGAACTACATTTTTGCTTTGTCAGTTCATCAGTTCAGTAGTTGGAGTGGACACGATATAACCCCAAAACGGATATAGAAAATTTAGGGCATGGTCAAAGTACAAATGGCAAATCAAGGGTAATTTTCAAAACATATATTTAAAAAGAAAATTTATGATAATAATAAAAAAAACAAAAAACAAAACAAAAAAACTACAAAAAAAACACCGACAACAAAAACAACAAAAACAAAACCATAAACAAAACGGAATGTAAATGTTGAGTATAACTACGGTTATACAACATTATAATAACTTGGAACAATTACCCAGTAATGGCCAAAAATAATGTCTCTCAAAGCTACCATACTGAAAATAAGAACAAAACCTCTTGAACCAATTCAGGCGCATCTCTGGTGGGAACAAGGATGCCAAGTTGTATCTTCATCGATCCAGTGTTTTCTTAGAAGATACTTTCGGACGCCGTCGAGCGTGTTGAACAAGGACACCATGACATGGAATCACTTCACGTTCAGTGTGAGTGTGAGGTTTGACGCCGCTTTTTGCAATATTCCAACAATATCACTGCGGGGGACACCAGAAATCGGCTTCACACAATATACCCATGTGGGGAATCGAAGCTGGGTCTTCGGTGTAATGAGCTAACGCTTTAACCACTAGGCTACCCACCATCCAACTTCAGTGGGATGAAGTACAGATATCCAGTGTTATTCTTGTCAACCTGACACAGACGTATCAGTATCAGTACACTGGCTAGTTGTACTGTACATTTGTAGAACCTGTGGCAGAATATTTTTTGTGTTTATAATAATATTTTATCAGCCCAATTTGGCATGCACGTTATGCTGCAAAGAACATACATTGTGGTTTTCGGGATCGGGTAATCAGGCTCTCTATTTTGGCTGATGGATGTCTTCGTATCCAAATTGATCGATGCTCATGATATCAATCACTGGATGGTGTGGTCCAGACTCGATTATTTAAATACCGTCGACATATAGCTGAAATAGGGTTGAGTGCCGCCTTAAAAAACAAACAAACAAGCACTCACAGAAACATTGCGTTTTTTCACATGCATTTGTCAGTTATTGGTTTCCCATATACATTTGTATAAAAAATATTTTCATTCTGTGTTTAATATAGTGCACAAGGCTTTTAATAATGTGTAGTTATAACAACTTTTTTTTGTAAAATATATAACCAGATATGACAAAAGAGGAACTCGAATGCATGGATTATGGATTTCTTGGAGGATTCTACGCTGAAGCATATGACTTGAAGCATTTACATTGTATTATGTGTAAGAACATGTATACCTGATAGCTATCTTTATCCGTTCTTGTGATGTCTAATGGTTAGAAGTTTCCGACGTGTATAGTGTTGCCATGGTGATTTGAAAACAATAGTTTCAGTTACATTAAACATTAAAGCCCAATTACGTCTTTGTTGACTGTATTCACTAAAAAATTAATTTGATCGAAGATTTCAAACAAGCAGGATGTAGCTCACCTGGAGATGTATGTAGAAAACTATAGCTTACATGACACAGGAGTGTACGTTGCCGAGCATACATACACCGTTATTGTATGGATTAAGTTTTATGAAAGACGGTATCAAAATAACGTCAAAAATATTTCAAATTGAGTCGATCAAACAGGTGATGAATATTCTACTTACTGCTCTGAGGTAGATAACTCCTTGATGGGTGCAACCACCATGTTGATTCTGTGACGGCGTAAACTTGCCATTTTGTAAATAAATAACCAAAAAAACCAAGACCAACAAGTCAGTGGTCGAAATTAAAATTGAAATTTAATTTAAAATGATGGTAGTGTGTTATAAATATTGTTTGTCTTGCTTTATAAAGAATGTACATAAAAGAACACGTGCCTGTGAATTTACTACATTTTTGACAGATTTAAGGAGGGAGGTTGAGTCCTTAATCCTATTTCGCATTTGTAAAATTGTGGAATCACAAACTAAATATATCTATATGCAGACAAATCATAAAGGGAAAAACTCTTAATCCCACACAGATGTTCTGTGGACTACAGACCTATGAAGGCAATGTGACCGGGTGCATTGTCGTTTGGATGGAGTTCAATTTTATAGGGCGGTTAAACTCGGAATGTTTTACAAATTGCAGCGCCATCTGACGTTCTTTACTGTCAACATTGTCCTTTAGCAGTAGTGTCCTTTTAATGCACTGACGTTCTTTAGTACATTGTTCTTTCTTACATATGAAGTCCTTTGTTTGCGTGTTGTTCATTGGTATTCATTATTCGTATGTAAATAATGACCTCTTTATTCGTAACCTTTGGCTATTATTAGGTACTTTTGTCCTCTATTTTAACATTGTATTTTTTGACCGAATGGGGGAACTGAAAATATATTCTGTTTGTAACATACATTCCAGTGTCTCAGATTCGGATGTTTATGTGCAAAATATCCGGAGCAAGACAAACAACAAACAATGTGTTAATGTTAGATTTGCTTTAATCATTCCATATCATTCACATGAATGGAAAAGAGTGATTATGTGTTTTCAAGCAGTCGCCGAGCAGCTCAGTACACTCACTGCCCAGGGGGACCAATCTGAGCGTTGACCCCCACGAAGGCACACATCTGGTAGCCGGTTACTGCATTGAACGTATGACCAGCCACCATGTTGGTTGCCGCGCTGTATCCATTGTACTCTCCGTAGTTGTCGCCAGTCTTGGCAGTGAAGCAGCCCATGTAGCCGATGTTCCCGCCTACCAAGTCGACCATGCCAAGAATGTCACCGGCGTTTACATGTATCTGTTCCTGTGCCGGGATGCACCACGTCATTGCGCGATCGTCACGACAACGGACGTTGTTATGGCCGACGACGGTGTAGCTGTAGATAGACAATGGCACTGATGCAGTAGATGACGTCAACTGAAGCTTAATGCCTACCTACGACCATATCTATTATGAATTATTACTATTATTGAACTAATTTGTTCTGTTTGAAATATGTATTTGTCGATTGACCTATAAAGGATGATATGTATCAGGCCATAGATGGTAAATGAATAGTGACTACTTAGTTTTAAACATGTAAATGTAGCATAGCGTAGACATACAAATGAAGACAAAAAAAAGACATGAAGCAATATACGTATAATAGCAGAAGAATAGGCAGAAGAGAATGAAACTATATACTAAAGGCAGAAGAATATGAAGCTATATACTTTTTAAGACAGGAGAATAAAAACTTCAAAACGAATAAAGGTAGAAAGGTAGTTATCGAACTATAAAGGTAAACGAATATAAATACATTTATCTATGATATATCAAGATATGATACACAAAGAGATCAAAATATTAAGTATAATGGCAGATGTAAGTATTCAAAGACATAACTGCACAAAGACAGGAGTGGACATGTGTGGACAGGTGTGGTCAGGTGTGGACAGGTGTGGACAGGTGTGTTCAGGTGTGGACAGGTGTGGACAGGTGTGTTCAGGAGTGGACAGGTGTGGTTAGGTGTGGTCAGGTGTGTTCATGTGTGGACAGGTGTGGTCAGGTGTGGACAGGTGTGGTCAGATGTAAGTATTCAAAGACATAATTGCACAAAGACAGGAGTGTTCATGTGTGGACAGGTGTGTTCATGTGTGGACAGGTGTGGACAGGTGTGTTCAGGAGTGGACAGGTGTGGTTAGGTGTGGTCAGGTGTGTTCATGTGTGGACAGGTGTGGACAGGTGTGGACAGGTGTGGTCAGGTGTGGACAAGTGTGTTCAGGAGTGGACAGGTGTGGACAGGTGTGGTTAGGTGTGTTAAGGAGTGGACAGGTGTGTTCATGTGTGGACAGGTGTGTTCAGGTGTGTTCATGTGTGGACAGGTGTGGTTAGGTGTGTTCAGGAGTGGACAGGTGTGGTTAGGTGTGGTCAGGTGTGTTCATGTGTGGACAGGTGTGGACAGGTGTATTCATGTGTGGACAGGTGTGGACAGGTGTGTTCATGTGTGGACAGGTGTGGACAGGTGTGGTCAGGTGTGGACAGGTGTGTTCAGGAGTGGACAGGTGTGGACAGGTGTGGTAACGTGTGGACAGAATGCACAACCCCAGCGCGTATACCTGTGTGCAGGGAACGTTCCAGCCCGTCTGAGCACCACAAATCTGATGTCCCCCGACTTGAGGCAATAGGTTCTCCAACACTTGACGGCTCCAGACTGCTGGATCGTGGAGTATTCAGACGCTCCAAAGAAGACGAATGGGATGTTTGGAGTCTGTTGTTGTAACGGTATGGTCGGCATGGTGTTCACCCACGATGTTGTTGCTGACTTGTCTGAAACGTGGCCAGAAACGGCAGGAATATTTGGTAAACACTTCGTGTTCTTGAAAATGTTGACAGAATGTCCCAGTGGCAGAAACCAGTGCAGCTAAACCTAGAGGGCTTAAACCATTAACTGATATACCATTACTAAATGTGCATTCAAAAACATTTTGTTGATACCTTGCAAAATATTCAAGACTGAAATACAAATGTGTCGGTTTCTGTGGAGGGCTTGTTTGTTAAATAGCCACCTTGACTTTAGTGTATTTATTACACATGCATGACTTTCTCTTCACAGAGGGAGGCGTGGATTGATGATGATTGATTAGTAAAATGTTTTATAGGTGTTCGGGCAACTGGGCACACCTTGCCCATGATAAAGGTTTGCTAAGTACCTTGATATTTTATAAAGTATCAAAACTGCCACACGCTTTAATATAAGCGAGAATGACATTATGAACATCATGGTGAACAATATTCCTAGAACATAGAATACCAGACAATGAGAAGTCAATATTGAGAACTGTTAGAGACTCCACCATTGCCTTACGCTGATTAACATACTTTTGGCAATAGAATAAAAAATGAGCTACATTATCAAGCTGATTACACACTGTACAATGTGCAGAAATGTCTTTATTAATAACATTTAGATAAGCACCAAGACCACAATGCCCAAGACGAAGTCTGGTTAAGAGAAGATATGTGTAATTTAGTGATAAAAGGATCGATGCCATAGAGATGACGTCCTTTTAAGTATGATGCCCATCTCTGCTGCCATTTTGTGTTAGCATGGGCCATACTGACGGTGCCTAACTCTGCCGGAGAAGGTAAAATTGTTTCATCTTGTTCTGATCGTCAAATTCTAATGCAGCTTTTGCCAATTTATCAGCTTTCTCATTTCCAAGTAATCCAACATGAGCAGGGATCCATGAAAATTCTACATCCAACAGATCTTTACTTAAGTCATTATAAGGGACGATAATAATGTTGATCAAGTCCTTCCTCGCTGAGGAAGAACCTACCCGAATTGCTTGTAATGCACTGACAGAGTCACTGAAAATTACCGCTGAAACAGGCCTTAAAAAATTAATCCAACACAATGCTTCAATGATTGCTCCTAGTTCAGTAGAAAATACTGATAAGTGATCAGCCAATCGGATAGAAAGTTCCCTCTTTTTATTAACGATGAATATACCAGCACCATCAAGACCAGACACTGGGCACTTAGAGCCATCAGTGTAAATCTGCATGGCATTTAACCACTGTAAACTTCGGATATGTTCCTCAGCTATAGCTTTAACTCGAGGTGCTGGCTCACATTTATTTACCTGTTCCAGGACATCAAGGTAAACTGATGGCAGTTAAGTGGTTCAGTCGTATAAAGCGCCGCAATTCGTCGTGCAGAGTTGCGTCCCCTTGGCATGCATAAAAACGTTGTGCGAGTCCCAGGTTTCCCAGATTAAGTTTGTCAGAATAGGACTCTTGTTGCTGGTTTTCACCAACATGGTAAAAGTTTAAGAGCAGACTTCAGCCATTCCCCCAATTCGAGATGACACGCAGTCATATACTTGAAATACTTTTCAATGCAGTGTAAAACAAAACTGACTTATTCACCTAGAGGTGATTCGTTGATTAAAGACATGTACTCGTGGCTAAATATTAAATATTGTGGGGCTGACACTCATGATGTTATTCCTGTTATGTCATATAAATTCTTATGTATCTTAATCAATCCAGATGAAAAACAAGTCATCGCCGACTCTCCTTTTCTGTCTTACTCTTGAAAAAAGGAATTTAGAGGAGGTTTTGCTGTCGTTTGCTCAAGCACACAATAGCTTTAAAACAGGAACATGTTCTTTGTGCAGATGTAATAGTCATTTTTGTTTGTTTGTTGTTTAACGCCGCATGCGGCACTAATCCAGCTATATGACGGCGGTCTGTAAATAATCAAGGCTGGATCAGACAACCCATTGACATCATGAGCATCGATCCACTCAAATGGAATACGATGACATGCATCCACTTAGTCAGCGAGCCTGACCACCCAGTCCCGTCACTCGCCTCTTATGACGAGCATAGTCGCCAATCACGACAAGAATTCTGAAGACCTATTCTACCCCGGGTCTTCAAGAGCATACTCAAAAGTAAGCAGAACGTTGAACCTGTTGGAAGAGGCTCGTGTCGCAGAAGAAGTTTACTGATTATTTAAAGTTACTGTCATAGATAAATACTCGCTCAAGATTGCTGAGAAGATCAAACAGTATTTTCGTGTATGTTTAGACGGGATACACAAACCTGAAAACGGGCAATTTAAAAGATAGCTCACCTGAACAGCTAGGTTGGCTCCCCGTCAGCGTCCCATCCAGCCTACACGCCCTGTTGAGGTTGCCGGACACAAGGTAGTTGTTGACGTCGCAGCTGTACACGGCTACCTGACCGGGGGACATCTCCGTGGTAGTGTTCAAAAGGACAGCGTTGTCACCTGAGCTGGGGGTTGGCACTGGGCAGGTTATGTCTGCAGTGACGGACAACGGGGTCAGATACGTGCGTTACAGGAGCATGCGACCAGAGATTATATATGTACATAATTTGTATACAGTATGTGTGTTTGATCCCGATCATTAGCATCCTAGAGGACCCACCATCACCATCACCTTCTCGAAGTTCCAACCTTGCCGAACTTGGCTGGAATTTATGGGTTCGATCGTAGCGCCTCCAGTGGCTGTTACCAGTAATGTCACTTCTATGTCCCTCCTATTGACCAATCAGATTCCACCTACCTTATCACTTGCAGTTGCTTCAAACAAAATGGCGGCGCCCAGTAAAGACGATCTGATGTATTACCAATATCTATATTGTTCTAAAACGGGTCTTAGCAAAGTGAATCATTGATGGCACCTTGATTAAACTTGAAAAGATTGGAACAATATCTGTCGACGTCCAGTTGACGGTACATATGTTTTTCAGATCCTGCAGTCGACCATAATCAGCGCGTTAAATTCCATGTTGTTTGCAAACCGGATGTCAATTTCATCAGGCGAGTTTGTTTCGGCTGTGCATAGATTTGTTAGTCCAACCAAACCGTAACTCCGGAATTCCAACCAAGTTCGGCAAAGGTGGAAACTGGACTGTAAGTACTATTACACTGTAATTGCGTCGTTTCGGTACAACATGCTTGAACTAGCATCTTATCCATAAGAACATTTTGTCTGCTTTAACATTGCATGGTTCAATTCTTGAAAATATACAGTAACTGTTTTTTCTCTAAAAGGAAAAGGTTTTGTTTTTTGTTTTTCCAAATAAAAAGCGACAAAAATCATTTCCCTCATCGTAATAAATGTCCACTAAAGTCAATTGTACGATTCCGATTATATCATAAGCATGTGTGTAAGAATCAAATAGTGATCATACAATATGGATATGTTCTCCACATAATAACCATAAAATCTGTTGAAAGAAGCTGTGTTTGAAACACATATTTTTCAGGATTTTCAGCATGTTGTGTTTGGTAAACATATTCAGTGAGGGGAGGTACATGAAGCCTAGTGGTTAAGGATTCGCTTGTCACGACGAAGACCCGGGTTTGATTCCCCACATGGGTACTCTCAGTTCAGTGGATCAGTGTTCAACTAATTCAATAATAATGCATGTATGCGTCCATTCCAGGACCCGTTCCACAAATCAGCGCTAAGACCGTCGTGACTCCCATACTTTTAACATAATCTACATTTATGATGCCTATGAGGAATGCCAGGATCCACTTTCACAAAGCAATCTCTGTGCTAAGGTCATTTAAGCCTGTGTTGAAGCAAGGGCGTAAATATGGTCTTAGTCCTAAGATCACGTGGTGCATGTGGATCCCGATCTCCATCCTTATGACGTAATGCACTTAATGTGTCACGATTAGTTCATGTAGTTGGTCACATGGAAATATTCCGACGGCAACAGGTGGTGTTCTGTGTCATTACGAGTGACCTATACTGACCATTGTAGTTGCAGTTGCCACAAGTAGCCGGACAGTCTCTGCTGTAGTTGATGAAGGCACTGCACATGTCAGGTACAGCATTCAGGACAGGGCTGCAGTCATCCCGTCGATCCTCGCACACTCTTATCCCTGTACACAAACAAAAAACCCTCATTTGAAGCATGCATAGATATATGTCTCCATATCCATTTATCGACGGCACCTGGTGGTACATTATACCGATTAACAACGTCAGTCGCCGATGGCCAGGTGGTACAGTATCAGGAATAATATATGTCAGTAGCAAGTTTTTGTCTGGAGGCAGAAGCAGTAGCAGGCTGCGTACATTATACTCACGAACACACTGTGGTTCCTGTCCAGAGAGGGCGCCACCCTTCTGGCATCCCCTGACAAGATTCCCGCTTTGCAGCGTATATCCCAGATCGCAGCGATACACGGCATCCGTAGCCAGGGGAACCTGGGTACCGGATACCACCTGGGCATGCTGGTCAGTCGATGGAGAGCGCACACTACAGACTCCGCCTGGGCAAAAATAGATCAACCTATGGCAATTCCTCAAGTATAAACACTGGTCTTCTTCTCAAGTTCCACAAAATCAGAGTGATAATTAGCATTGCATATGTTCACAAAATCGTGTGGCTCCGTGTCAGAGTAACTCGTGTGCAGTATATATATTGAAAAACACACCTTTAAATGATAAAATTCCTAAACCTTTCTTTTCAGTATTATGCAATGTTGTTAATTTGTCACGAATAATATTGCTTTACAAAGTAGGTTATAGGTTGTAGTTCAACTTCGAGTTTTCTGATAGCAAATATCGCAAAGGAGAGGAGCCTTTTTCGAAGATTCGAAAAGCTTCGGTGGTGTTCTCAGTTTTCGTCTTCTGGATCCTATCTCATATTAAATAAAAAACATTTCAAAATATTGGTTCTTTTACCCTGCCATGTGGGAAAAGAGCAGAAAACCATTGCATGGCATTCGGATTAAAATAAACAATATTCCGTTTATATGCACCAGAAGGCAAATGCATACCAGAAACAGTCTTAATGATACGGGCTCCAATGCAAAGCCTGTCACATATTTAGGCTTGCGTTAGGAATACAGATGTCACTGAGAAGAACTTGGGAAATACGCATAAATCTATGGCGTTATGGTGGTGCTCGCATCATGATTGGTTGGTTGGTTGGTTTGTTGTTTAACGCTGCACCCAGCAATATTCAAGTTATATGTCGGCTGTCTGTAAATAATCGAGTCTGGACCAGACAATCCAGTGATTAATATCATGAGCATTGATCCACGCAATTGGGATCGATGACATGCATCAACCAAGTCAGCGAGCCTGACCCCCCGATCCCGTTCGTTACCTTTTACGACAAGCATAGTTGCCTTTTACGACAAGCATGGGTTGCTGAAGACCTATTCTACCCTGCAATCTTCACGGGTAGCTCCCATCATGAAAGCGTAGACATATTTGCTATCAGATTATCCAAAACACACTATCCATAAACAAGTGCAACATTGGTTTGTTCTCGAATAAAGTAGTCTCAAAAGGAACTGATATTCAGTGTATAGGTATGCATGTATTCATCACTGAACAAAAGAGTTTACGATCATGAATATTTTGGGGAATATTTGTTTGTAGTTAATCCAACAATTTCATAAAAATATTCCCCCAAATACTCATGATCAAAATTTGTTTTGTTCAGAATATGTTATTTTTCGTATATTCCTCATATGTTGCCATGGTGGCAATAGTACGATGACATGTTACACAGGAATGTTTTGATAGAACCCATTTGGTTACGGTTTTTGAATTGATACAGATCTACTTTTTCTTGCTGAAGACTGAGCACACAATTCCATAAAATATCCCAAGAAATGTTCATGATCCTTAAGTTCAGTATATGAAAAAATGGCAGAAAAAACCTACCCAGACACTTTGGAAGGGATCCACCCAGATTGCCGTCGGACTGACACTCCATCCTCAGCTGACCAGACACCACGTGCCCTACTGTACACTCATACACAGCGTATGATCCGATTGAAACTTCTGCTGCGGACACACGCTGAGTGTTGTCTGCCTCTAAAGGCTGGGGCACGACACACTTTGTCTCTTTTGGAAGAAAACATTGGAACATAATGTGCCGGTGACGTCAAAACCTTAACTATAAATATTTTTAGGGTAAGCATATTTCTTGAGAACATTATTATAAGTTGTAGTTGTAGTAGTTGTTTTAGTAGTAGCAGAGATAGCAGTAGTAATGGTGGTAGTGGTAGAAGCAGTCATGGTGCTAACAACTTCAATAGGTTTCTTTATAACTTCATTTTTCCCAAACATCTAATTGTTTCAAAATGTTTCCATAGTACACCGAAATTCTATTCCCTTTGTGTGTTTAATATATGCAGCAAACATTCCTTTAATCCTTTAATCGCTTAATCTTCATGTTGCCAGACCTTAAGTTTGTACCTATACATCTGCACACAGAAGCTAATAAAAAATGGTTAAACAGACAAACTGACCAAGATCACAGACAGGAGCGGATGGATTGTACAGCAAGCTGTGGATTATCAAATCTGTCTTAATTGGTGGAGAATCAGGGAAGCTTGAGTTTGCTATGACTCATGCACTACCTCCCTACACTAACTCGCAGCAAGCAAATGTTATTTCAGAGATGAAGGGAGACAAAAGCAGCTTCACGTCGGCTGTCATCTTGGCGAAGAAGGAAGAAGGTGACAAGCAGAATCCAAGCTGACCCAATCATCAGCAAGAGGACAACAGTCTATACAAAGTAATCTTACCCTAAACACTCCAACCAGACCAAAGCAACATTTTTAATATGACTACACCAATCTTCCGACTGGTAAAGATTCAGGGTTAGAATTGGCCTTCAACTATCCATCCTTAAAGGCAACTAATGGGATCGGGTGGTAAGGGTCGCTGCCTTGGGTTGACACATTGTTTAACGCCACACTCAGCAATATTTCAACTATAATGACAGCCGTCTGGAAAATCGAGTCTGGACCAGACAATCCAGTGATTGACATCATGCGTATCGATCTACGCAATTGAGGTATGATGCCATGCATCAACCAAGTCAGTGAGCCTGACCACCCGATCACGTTAGTCGCCTTTTACGACAAGCATAGTCGCCTTTTAAGGCAAGCATGGGTTGCTGGAGACCTATACGCCTCTGGGTATGTAAACACTGTACTTATATGTACTCAGTGTGAAAATGATAATAACAATCAACCTGTTAATCGTATGGTAGAATATGATACCTGTAAGTTATCTGGCCTTATTGGTAGGCGTATTTACTGAGCATATTTAGTGGATACTTACATATATACTGTATCCTACTTCCTCGTGTTGACAACGTGATTTTGTGCTTAAATACGATACCAGCGAAAATGAACAATCTTTGATCGATCACCGGTCAACAGCACACATACAATTTGTTTAAATATTTCCGAGCCACTTTCACTTGATTGTATTTTTCATTACATTCCAGTAGGGACGTTTGAAATTCGTAAGGGTTTTCTTCAGACTCATTATTCTTTTGCAGAGTCAAGGTTCAAAATATAAGACTCGCAATTTAAAACATTTTACTGCTACCATGAAACTATTACATTCATATGCAAACCACCAACACATTATGTGTTTATCTCTGCATCATCAGTATACTTTACTTGTTACAATGTTTGTTTTATGTTTCAATGTATTACCCGTGACACAAAAATATTTCCACCAGTCTGGAATTCCGACTGAACCAAAGTCAGCGAGTAGGTTTTGTCACTTGTTTACAACATCAAGTGTTTTGTGTGTACGAGCCAGCACTTCTGCTGACCTGCGTTTTGAGTGTACAAGCTGGAACAACTGCTCAACTTGTTAATGTTATGTATTGTCTGACAGATGTTGACAATTCTGTTATTCATTTATGTATTTGTACCTCTTTACATCTCTTACCTAATGCCAGTTCAATCATCCGATTCATTATCATTGCCTCCAGCAAATCCTTGTCAAGCTCTCGATTGAATATGCAATTTCACTGAGCACTTGTGCTTTCAATATTGTTACTATTTCTTAGCGCTTTTGAGGACAAAAGCTCCAAAATGTTCAAGGGTATTGTCATAGTGCAAACCGCTTGAATCAGTTTGTTGAAGACTTTATGTATCCAAATTACCTTAAAGACTTAACATGTTTCTAAAGATCGCTAAAATTCTAACTCCTTTGTCTGTTTAATATATAGAGCAAACATTCGGCATATGCTCTCTAATTATAAGCCCCTAAGGGCAGGACCCTTAATCCCCAGCTCTATCCATAAATGTTACGTCCTGACGTCGCCGGATGTTACGTATGTACCCGTACGTGGGTGATTAACCTTGCCAAATGTTATGTTATACACACAGAGAGAGAGACCAGCACAGATCATCGATAGGAGCGAACGGATTGTAAAACTAGTAGTCGTGGCGTCGGCTACGGCCGCTGCCTTACCAAAGACTATCTCGATGATGAAGAATCGCCGTCCGAAGTATGTAAGTAACAGGGCGGAATTAGCAGTGGTAGTGGAAGTTTTATTATAAAGACGCTAGGCGCCAGGGTACATAAACGTTCATACGTACAAATAACAAATGCTTAACCAGTATACTCAGTGTCGACGTTATGAAGTAATAATATAGGAAATATATTCTATCAAGGGCCAATTTACCACATATAAATATACACTAACGTGCCGTGGAAAATATCTAAAATATTTTTTTGAATTACAATAATTTCATCAGGAATAATATTCAAATCAATTAACATTTAGTCAAACAAGTACAGATATGTATGGGAGTATACACCCATGTTTGATGGTCGATATAAATAAACCAAACAAGAAATGGTTATTCGATGGTGATGTATTTGATACGGGTATCACAGTTGTTTTTTGTACCTTGCGTTTGCAGCCTTTCGGTGATTGTTTTCAGCCAAGTAACGTTTTGATAATGTTTGTATTTTGTGGGTCAAATCCATGTCATGTTATTTAATTTAATTAAAAATTACTACAGATACCATTATGAGGATGTGTTTCACTAGAACTATACTGCATAAATACCTGTACAAATAGGAGGATTGCCCAACAATGAACCATCAGAACTGCACATCCTTTCCAAGTCTCCGTTGGTGAGGGTGAACCCTTGTAAGCAGCTGTAGTAGGCCTGTGTGCCCCCCTCCACCAGCGAAGGGGACTCGCGGACAACGTTGCTGACGGGTGAGGGCAGAGGGACATTGCACCGGATTTCTGGAGAATAAAGGCCAGACTACAAAGTACATTCACACGCAAATACATGAAAACTGTTAATCTGAATGCTGACGTTACTAATTTCGACCCGATTAACAGCATTCCTTACATACTGATGACTGGTATAACACAATGCCCATATATGCAGGTTACAATTAAGATCATCCAGGCGATTCCAGTTTCCGGTTAGGACAGTTAGGAAATTATAAGCAGATCATCTTTATCAAGGATTAGTCTCAATACATGACATTAAAGAAAATATTAAACAAACACAAAAAACAATACATTACTTTAAAAAAACCATTGTTAATATTTCATAGAAATACTTGTAATTACATTCTGTGACACAAAAGATGTCATGTTGCAGCTGCACATTTACTAAGAGTGAGACCCGTGAAGATCCGGGGTAGAATAGGTCTTCAGCAACCCATGCTTGCCGTAAAATGTGACCATGCTTGTCGTAAAAGGCGAATAACGGGATCGGGTGGTCAGGCTCGCTGACTTGGTTGATGCATGTCATCGATCCCAATTGCGTGGCTCGATGCTCATGACATTAATCACTGGATTGTCTGGTCCAGCCTCGATTATTTACAGACCGCCGTCATATAGCTGGAATATTGCTGAGTGCGGCGTTAAACAACCAACAAACCAACCAACCAACCAACCAACCAACCAACTAAGAGTGAGTGAGTTGGGTGTACGTGTCAACATTCGAGTCTACTTGTTTGAAAATAAATTCTCGGATGTGTCGAAGCTCCGGTTGTGTCGAACTCTGACTATTTTAACCTAGATGTGTCGAACAGGATGGATGGAATTCTAGGTATCTCGAACACAAGTTATTGTAAATTTAAAGTAATTTAAAAATTACCCTCATAAGTCGAAATATGTATCAGGTATAATGATCAATCATTATAGGTGACCCGCACCCCATGCTGATGAGGATGGTAGCGGAGTGTGGCTGATTACGTGGCATTGGTTGGTTGGTTGGTTTGTTGTTTAACACCACACTCAGCAATATTCCAGCTATATGACGGCGGTCTGCAAATAATCGAGTCTGGACCAGACAATCCAGTCATTGATATCATGAGCATCGATCCATGCAATTGGGATCGATGACATGCATCAACCAAGTCAGCGAGCCTGACCACCCGATCCCGTTAGTCGCCTTTTACGACAAGCATGGTCGCCTTTTACGGCAAGCATGGGCTGCTGAAGACCTATTCTACACGTGGCATTGAATCAGGTGGTCAGGTTATGACTTTGTTGTATAATAGTGAGTACTTTGGTTTAAAGTCGTTTGAATCATGACGTAAGTTAATTCAGGTCGTGTCACCCGAATTTGGTAAGAGAACTCAACATGACCCAGGTCGTTCGGGGAAACAGGGTAATGCTGACATGTCCAGAGTCCTAACGAGGCAAATCTAAGATCGATCTTAACTATCTGAACTATCAACGGTTCCTAACGTGATAAAAGGACGTAATTCTTCTGTAGCGCCATGCACGGTCCCTGCTCCCTTTGGTACGTATATGTTACAGTCAATATGTAAAATGACTCATTTTGGCACTTTACAAAATGCGTAAATATATCATATCAGTCATATTAGAAGTTAACTGAAACATAATTTTTATTAACAAGTTGAAAAGGGCTTAAAACATCACAATTGACCAATTATGCTAGGATTAGAAGCCTAGAACCCCCGTCCCGCCTCCCACCGCCTAAAAGAACCCCAAAAACCCAACAAATACCCCCCACCCCCACCCCCGCTCTAAAATAATAACAAACCCAACACATTTTACACATTATGACTGATTTGTTGACACATTGACTGTAACACATATAATATAATGTCGGTGAAATGGGTTTTTTTTGCAATCACCCAGAATGAGAGTGACGGCACCCTTTTTTGGTATTTATTATCACAAATCAATACAATTATTGACCCTCAGCTTATGATCACGCATTGTCATGCAGTCCCAGTCGTCTTAAATATTTGTACAAGCTGGGTCCAAGGATATGGCTGGATGTGGGGGTGGGGGCTCGTGAATACATACGTTAGCTTTGCGGTACAGTCCCAAGTCTTAACTAGCAAGTCAACAATTAGTCCAGTTCCAGCTGGAGGGAAAACATGCAGTGTTTAGACCAATGAGAACATATCTCGTTCCAAACACTTTAATATTAAAAAAGTCGGATCGCACAAACTTTATGCACGGAGAAGGGCTCTTTTGACCTCCGTGAGTTACACACGGCTTCTTTTCAATAACTGACTAAAACCAGACACGTGATGAGGAAATACTGGCATGTTTCACAACCAAGATATACTGCAATGATTTTTTATATCAATAGCTCAGCAACAGAGGCTGTACAAATCGTACAAAGGTGTAATATTGGATAAGATGATATGCACATTGATAATCATTTCTTCATGTAAGTTCACAAGGTCTGTTTAATCTTACTTTCAATATGTTCAACTCAATTCATCCTTGTGAACAAAACGGACTCACAAATATCAAATCGATCTCAAGACTTAATGTCAATGGAATCAATAGTAGGTTCAGTTGTATAAGTCTTTTCATATAATCAATTAATCCATCAGTAAATGTAGCAAAAAACTAAACGCAACCTTAAGGCACTCAAGTCTTTAAGATGTACACAACATTTCATAAGTAACTTCCTCTAGTTACGCAACATTTTTACGCAACTAATGCGGCACTAACGAGGTATTATCGCTCCACTTTATAGGCATTAGCGCGAAACTATTGCGCCGCTTTCAATACACGTTCCCGCTATTTGTTACAAGATCGCGGCACATTCGCGGCACGTTCGCGGCACTATTCCGCCACGATAGTCATGCTGTCTTGTCACGGTTGTGACACATTTGCAGTACAACATACAATGTTACTATAAGTATTCGTAGATTGAGCATTCTTCGGTTATCATACATGTAGTTATATAAATGTATCAATACCACTGAAAACACATCATTTCTGACCATGTGGTGGTGGAGAAGGGGTAGGGTGGGTACGGTTGGCTAAGACGTCTGATTCGCCATGATTCGTAATGCAGAGTTGCGTCCCTTATACGTGGGTTCGAACCCTGATTTACCCTGATTTATTATAGATATTATATATATTATAATTATTGTGATACCCATGCTCGTGGGTTTCACCAAAATCGTGGATACAAGTTCATAACTCCTTGGTTTTGAACTTGGATCGATATCTGATATCAAAGGACACTCTTTAGATCACAAGCATAAGATGTAGACTTACCCTCGGGATACACATCAACACAAACGCTACGTCAAACCGCTTTCGTATTTCCCGAGGTAAAAACCCAGAGTCCGCCATTTTGTCTTTTCGGAGACATTGTAAAGTGTGTGCTCAGCTCAATTGTATCAGTGATTGTGAGTTTCCCTCTAGGCGCATACACTTTGGCGTCTGTGTGCACATCCAACACGTGCTGTTCATGCATGATGTGAAATGTCCTTGTGATTATATGCGTTCAGATGCATTGCCACGGTATTGTTATGTACACCTCAACGATAGCTACATTCAAATCATTAAAGTACTGTCGGAGATGCTGGAAAACTGCTTTTCTGGCTTGATTTAATAAATAAGAGTCACAGGACTATAAAAAGAGCATATATCAAAATAACGCATATTGCCCTAATCTAGCCTGTCCTAACTGACACTGTAATTACCCTTAAAATGTACTTTTACAGGTAAAATGATGATCAACTTATAATTCGTGTGTATATATTCGTGTGACAATATTCGTGTGTGGTCATGCATGTATGAAATGGCCCATAACCGGAGGTATTTACCTCACACCGTCCTGTGCATTCTCACAGGTGCAAATGTCACCGAGTTGGGGGTGGTCTCAACATATTGTTGTTATTGTACTTAATTGACATGTGCATTATTTGCTTGGAAACATGATGGAATAGTTCAGAGCTATGAAACGGGATGAGTATTGGAAGGTTGCGGTTTTGGAATCCAGAAGTATTTGTTGTTCTATTGGTGATTTCTTGAGGTAGCATTTATGTTCGCTGTGATGACGTACATGAATCGGTACTTTTGAATGTTGTGTTATGTCTTGCCACGAACCCGTCACACTTAGCCAAGATGGTCACAACAGCTCACAATGTCTGACTGGCGTACGTAAGACAACGCGATCGTGTTGTGCCGCCAGCACATATCTTCTGTACTTTACAGGGTTCTTATTCAGCCGAATTTTCTCCATGAGTTGAACTTTCGTTTCATATGATCCGAAGTCGACAATGTCATTCCTGCATGGTCGCCTTCAGACTACTCATGGTTTGGGCGACAGTATCTGATTCCGGACGTTATATTAACTGGCGTTATCCATGATAATGACACTGGCGTTGTTTAAAATGGGTGCTAGCTGAAGTTCCAACCAGTATATGAACACATCACATCCTATAATTTCCTTATGAAAATAACAAGTTTTCTTTTTCGCCTCCAAAGCTGGCACACATGATTCAATCAGCACAATATCATGGGTTGCAGCATGCAAAACAATGACACGATTACCTTCACCTGATGGTACCATGGGTGCTTTTTGTCAATCTGCCGATAGCCACATGTAGTCAGTGGAATGATTCATCAAGGTAAATTATCTGGACACCCTGACTGTGATAGTTATGAATGGTTCGGAGATAATGTGACATCATAGACAGTATGGAATATTTTCCCCTGAAAAGTGCTCAGTCATCACCCCGCGCAGTGTATCGAAGTACCATCTCCTTGAGAGCAATAGATAGTGCAGTTAACATTTATTGTATCTTTAATTCCTCCCGAATTCTACTACAGGTCAGGGTTTTCTTCCGCACATTAAGCGTGTACACTATACGCCTAATCACCCTGTGTCAAAGCTGTCTAATATCCTTTTACGCCCCAGTTTTGTTTTTGAGACCGGGGGCACGGGTGGCCCAGTCGTCTAAGGCGCCGCGATTCGCTGTGCAGAGTTGCGTCCCTTG